GTAAGTCCAGCGGGGAGTTTTGTGCATTTCAGGTGCAGGGGAGCCCGGCACGAGGGGCGGCTGGAGGGATTTGCGAGGGAGAGGCCCGTGGCCGCAGGACTCGCAAGGAGGGCCGAGGGCGAGGAGGGCAGAGCGACTTTGTTTTCCTGAAGCCCATCAGCTGTTCGTGCGAATGACAGTGGCCTTTATCTCTTAACGAGCACCAAGCAAGTCCATTGACTCGAAGTGCTCTCTTCGTTCTTTCGCCGACTGACGCCTTAATTGAGCATCAGAGAGTTAGTAATTGGAAATTTGCGATTTCTATTGTTTCTGCATTCGGTTCCTGTGGACGAAATGTTACAATCTCTCGCGTTTTCATTCGCTTTAGGAGAGAAAAAGTACTGGAGACAAATTCCTCTTTGCTTCAGACATACTCTGTGGTGCTATTAGTAGTGAGTGGGTTAAAGGAATAAATGACGCTTCCCTTTCGAGCTCCTCTTCCACTTCTCTCAAGGTCGCAGTTTGACAACAAACAAAGGCTTTATTGAATCATTCTTTTGCCTCGAATGTGTTGCTGGCAAGTGGTGCAAGTGTCCATTTCGGTGGACAGGATGAGGAACTCTACAACTCAAGGCAAAAGCCTCAGTAGCAAAGTGTTTCATGTAATCTTAAGCAGTACAGAGGAAACCCACTCCTCAGAGTTGACAATATTTTGAACAGTTAGGAGTAAGATTGTTTATTCAGAGACTGTGTTTGTTTTGTGTCTTCATGCCGTGATATTTATGCTTCAAATTTGGGGGATACTTCAGATTAACTGTTAGGGTATGACTGTTAAATATGGATAATGGGGTAGTGTCTTGCTTTCAAAACAATTTTGCTGTTATTATGCAGGGAATCCACTGAATTAACCCAATGGGGCTGGGTATCAGAAATCTGTCAGTGCCCTAAACTATGGGGATTTCTGGCAATGTCCAGACGCTGGGTGTGATAGTCCGCTACAGGTAGCAGAACTTCCTGCTCCAAGCATTCTGGTGCAAGCAGTTTGTTATGATGTGTGTACAAGTGCCTTGTCAGGATGGGGCCAAATGATTCTGAGTGTTCCTCTTTGTGCAAATGAATTGTAAAGGATATTTGATGACCATTTCTATCAACAATCTTGATAGCAATGGAGGCACAAAGTATATCAAGGAAAAGTGGAAAAAACATGCTTGTGAAAGTCTACAGACTGTCATGCAAATGTTAAAAAAAAAAAGACAATATTTAGTATAAGGTAGTGGCAGAGTTGGGTAATAAAACCTTCATGAAATGATAGAACAATACAAACCAAGACAAAGTTCTATGGCAATGTGTGTGCAAATGCTGCTCAAGGTTGCTATACATAAAAGAAAAGGGAAGAAACAATTTTGATATTTTTCTGCGTGAAATCCACTGCTTTCAACGATTCTAGGCATTGTTCCTTGTGCAAATGGGCGACCTTATCCAACATCCAACCTAACCTAACACCGTGGTATATATTCCCTAGCCAGGGGGCTCTGCCCCCCTGGACCCCCAGGATAATATATATACTTAGCACCATTGGGAAGCATTTGCACACACATTGCTATAGAAGAACTTTGTCTTGGTTTGTATTGTTCTATCATTTCATGTTGGTTTTATTACCCAACTCTGCCACTACCTTATACTACATATTGACCAAAAAAAAATCCAATTTATCTTTCCATAAAATTTACAGGCATTACATCACCTAAATCCCCTGGTGGGTGTACCCCTGTGCCCCTACCAGGGGCCTCTGCCCCGTGGACCACATAGTCCTCAGACAAAATGTCCTAACTCAACACCTAACCTGTCCCTTGCCAAAAGCTCCCAACACCACATCACAAAATTTATGCAACAGTTGTAGGGGAGGGCTGATTAGGGGCTTTTACCCCCTATACCCCCTAACAAATGTTATTTTCATTGTATATATATAGAGAGAGCTGAAACTCATGAGGACCAATTGTAACTAGGCTGTGAGCAGTTCATTCCAGGATCTTTTTCCTTTATTTATGGTATTGCCATTCATGTTCACAGATTATTTATTGTTTTGGTGACTGCAGCTTTTTCTTCTCTATAAGAATATCATCTTATACAATCTCTGGTAAACAATTAAACTCATATTTATGGGAGATAAAGCAAAGTTGCTTTTACAGTTGTGAAATAGTTTTTGTAATAGTTTTCTTTCTTTGGTATACCACTAAGCTTAGACAAAATAAGGTTGTTTTCAGAGGTCACTAACTTTTCACCAAATCAATTTTTTAAATCACTGATGTATACCATAGTAAAACTTTTTCAGTGACGGCTATGTACAATTTTGTTGTTTGAAGTGTGAATTAACTACTAAAATCCAAATACACAAATTCTTGCAATCATTATATGGCAATTCCAAGACCACTAATTCATGTGGGTTCTTCAACTTCTGGCAGAATATAAAAGTCCGTCTTTTTCTTTAACCCATATCTGCCAGGTCATACTTATAGCCGTCATACCAAGTGAACTTAACGTTGCTGGGTACGGCTATAGGTATTACAATGAACCAGTATTTTCCAAGCAGAAAATTCCACTTTTAGCTGGCCAAACGGTAGGATGGTTGCCAGAAGCCTCCGGAGTCAGTGGCACCAAGAGATTTCTGATACCATTATTGAGGGGTTAAGGAATGACATTTCACATCCTGTTCTGTCAGTCCTAATGATCTGAGCAAGATATGCATCAAATAAGTTGGTTTGTCTACTCTTGCTGGATGTAGCTTGACTTCAACCCATGAATCAGTCTGGATAATTCTGTACAGTGTCTGATCCAAATGTGTCTTTCCTTAAATCTAAACTGTCAAATAGACTTGCTTCATTATTTGATAACTCCCTTTCACTTAATTCCGCCAAAGGCTCTTATTGACTATATTCCATTATCTTTTTGTTTACACAGAGTTTTTTCTTTCCGAATTACATTTTCTTTCTTGTCCTTTTCTTGAAGTTTGTTTAACCCAATGGTGATGGGTGAAGAAACACTTTGAGCGCGTGAGTTCGGTACATCAGCCCGAATCACTGGCTTGCCGCGCTTTGGTGTACAGCTGCACACCAGCTTTCGAGCGGTTTATTTTCACACCTATTGGCGTCACCCATCGGGAAGGGGTTAATTCATTAATCATTTTTATTGAGGGAATAGAGTAGATCCTGTCCACCACATTTCTTGTATTTTTGGAATCTTTTCCTGGCTGTCAGGAAAAATTTGGGATTTATGAATGCTGGTTGGAGAGATTTCTGTAGCACTGAATGGTCTGGATTGAGCTGGAGATGTTTGTGTATAATGGAAGTAAGATTCTACTCGCACAGTTTCTTTCTTTTGAAACTTTTACTGCCGGGTTTAAATGGGAAACCTGAAAAAAATGATACCAATTTGCAGAATGAGCCTTTCATGTTGTAATTATTTTTTCTTTCCTCCTTTTTTGTTTTGCTTATCATTGGGTTAGTCTGACATGCCTGAGCTACTTAATATGGAGGTGTAGTTTGTAACTACCTTGATCAATTCCCACGAAGATGGTCGATATATGCATGTTTTGGGCTGCTGTAGATGTCTTCATCAGTATGTTTCCCTTGAACCTGGCTTTTCCGTTTTAGAGCAGACATTTTTAGCTCCTGTAATTACTATTATTTACTTTGAAATGGAAAATTGATGAATTCTTGAAGTTTTTCAGTGTGTAATGTCCAGTATGAACTCGTGTACATTTAGGATGTCACATACTTCATACTTTTTAGACCATGCATGAGGTATTATCAGTTGGAGGGCACTCCATCTCCAGAGGATAATGTCCAATTCTCGCTAAAATTCTCGCTTTGAGTGGTGGTTTTAGTTTCATGTTTCACCGGTCACATCTCTCTAGCAGTCTCATGAAAAAATGTGTATATATTGGTCAAAGACACTCTAGCCCTGTCCAATAAGTATTCACCCTTACCTCAGCTTCCAAGCAAACCTGATTCATGCTTTTGGTACCTACCATGGCTAAATCAGCTTGCAAAGAAAAAAATGTTAACTGTAAGGTAACCATGCCACAAAAAGTAAAACTGGCAACCTTTAGCTTTTTGCAAGAAAATGGTATTTTCTTTTACCTTCTTTTCAGCTTTGGTTTCTGCTGTTATAGATCAGAATAAGTTTTATGTATATTGGTCATTTTATTGAGTTAGGGGCAGGGATCAGATTGTAACTGTTTTTGATATCCACAATATTGTCATAGTGTGAGAATCTTTTTCTAAATGCCAACCGTGTACCTATTGGATATAGGGTGCATACCTAATGGTTACCTTACCCTAATATTGATTCCTTCTGAAAATGAAACATTTCTCACCAGTGCTTGTTAACCCAATGCCGACGGGTATGACGTGTACGTACGTGCTATGCCCACCGTGTTTGATTGTTTTTACACATAGATGGCAACACTTGTTCTAAATCACCAATGAGCCAGGTATGAGCACTGCCCGTCTCCCCTGATTACCCTTTTCTTTGATTTACGAAAAATTTTACGTTATCCTATTTTGCTGTTACTAATGTTAAAAAAATATTATAATAATTATGTTTCTGATAAAAATAACACCATCGATTTTCATAGCACTAGTGAAAAATACGTTTTTCCCGCCATTTCAAATCAGGCGCTAGCAGAGCCATCTATCGGCAGACATTTCACGAAAAACATAGAAAGTAGGCACAGCATTTTCTCCATTTTTTTTTTCATTTTCCCCGGCAGCATTGGGTTAAGGGATGGAGTCGCCCAGCACTGTCAAAAATCCTGGTCATAAAAACAAGCAAGCACAGAAGTTTTTTGTGAAGTATATAAATACTCAACACATTAAAGAAATATAACAACATATTGAAAGTGGTTACATATGTTGACATGGAAAATCATATTCACAAGCAAGTTGTAATACAAGAACTATTTAACATAGTGCAGTAATGAATTTGTGGTCGGTGTAGTAACTATACTCAGTGTAAACAGG